GGGTGGAGGAGAGGCGGGGAGGTTGGCAGGGGCGCCCGCCAGCGTCGCTCGCACCTTTGTGCTCCCGCGCTGCGCCGCCGCCGCAGCGCTCTCCGCGCCGTCAGACGCGCCCTCGCCGCCGATGGTCTGAACGTGCACGAGGCGGAGCCCGGGGCAGGCCTTGACGGCGTCTGGGACGCGCATGTGGCGGGTGATGCCGGCGGCGCGGGCCGCATAGTTGACGGCGATCAGGCCGTTCCTGCCGTGAGGGCGACCGAGCGGATGAGCGGGATCGTTGCGCCGTTTGGTTGTTGGGCTGATTCGTTGCAGATTTTGCAGCACTGCAAAATCGATACACACGTATCGAGAAGCGGCGGTGCGCCGCAACGGGGCGCTCGCGAACGCGTCGCTGGATCGCAGGCCGAGGCGGCCGCGCCATCGCGGTCTGGCGTTTGCGCTACTGCGCGCACCACTGCTGTACCGCGCAAGGCGTGTCGCGCGGGATGTCCAGGCGCAGCTGCTCTACTTGGGCGTAGAAGCAGTCCAGGTCGATGTGCAGTATGACCTGTGGGCGGCGCGTGAGGGGTTTGAGCTGTAACAAGGGAGCGCATGGCTGCCGGCAAGCCTGGTTCTGGCGTAGGAGATGGGGCAAAAACGCGCTGAAGCAGGCAACACAGCACGCGCAGCGCAGCAGCAGGCAATCGGGTTCTCCCAGCTGCGAATTGCCATTTCTGTGTGCCTCGGCCTTCTGATGCTCACCCTGCCGATGATGGGTGCCTTGGCGCCGCCGTCAGCACCCTCGTGCTGGCGGGGCGCGCCTCGCCATACCGCACCGCCACCAGCTGCGGCATCCGCCATCACCGCTGCCGCTGCAAATACCCGGCTTCACGAGAGGTGCGAGTTGATATCAACAAAACGATTATAACACGGAGCATGCTGGTGACTTCATAACACTGCCAAACAAAGCACAGCAAGATCGAACAGGTCCCAGCGCAGGTGCACTTCGAGAAATCGTGCCACACATGATTTGATGAAGGATCAGCGCCGACACTGCACGTTGGCCGGCGATTGCGGCGGTAGCCTTTTGATTGCCGGGCGGTGACAGCCACTTTCGCGGCTTCACGGTCCTTGCCCACCCTCAACGGCGCCAAGCTCGCGGCGCGCAGCCACTGAGCCGCTGCCCCAGCAACCACGCACCCCACGCTCCCGCCATGCGCAGAGCCCCATCCTGAAATGCTGTACTGCACGCCTCTTGACTACACAACCACGTTACAAGCCTGTACACTCAGCACGCGACGCGGGCTCGGAGAACCCCAGCCCCCCGAGCATCATGTGGGCGCCTGCAGCAGCCACAGCGCATTGCGTCGTATGGCGGCCCGCATCTCCTCAAACTCCCGCCGCAGCGGCTCCACCTGCGCCGCGGACTGGCCTGCGGGTCCGCAGAGGGCAGGTCACGTGAGCACGGCCGCGTCAACGCTCGCTTTCCCCCCCATGCAGAACCCAGATGAGGGCAAGAGGAGCAACACCTTGCCAAACCCGACATGAACGCCCCGCCCTGCTGCGGTGGACTCGAGGCCCGGCCTTCAACCAGGGCAAAACCGCAACTGCGGATCCTCCCAAGTCACCTTGCCACCTCCCTGTCCCCCCCCAAAAAAGCACGTGCCATCGCCCCTTCCCCCAACCGGACCACGTGCCATTCTTCTCCCCGTTCCCGCACCCAGACCCTCACCCTTGATTGTCTCCAGTGCGGCGTCCAGCGCCGCGTGCATGCGCTTCTCCAGCCCCTCCACTATGTCCCTCTTAGCCTCCTGCATGTGCCGCAGCGCCGCCTCCTTGCCCCCGCCCGCCGACGCCGCCGCCGCCGCGGCCCCCGCCGCCTCCGCTTTTTCCATGGCAGCGGCCGCCGCCGCGGCCGCCCTCTCGACCTCTGCGGACAGCTCTTTCGATTTCGAAGCCAGGGAAGCTTCCAGGCCCGCCTTGGCGCCCTCCAGCTTGGCCGCCACCTCCCCCACTCGCGCCTCGCCCGCCGCGGCCACCTTTCCAAGCTCGGCGGCCACGTGCCGCCGCAGATCGGCGGCCGCGGCGGACACCTTGGAATCGACCTCCGCAGCCGCCACCTTGCCGGACGCGTCGCCGGCGCCCTTGTCCGCCGCCGCTGCGGCGGCAGCCGCGTCCGCGTGCCGCTTCAAAACGTCCCGCATCTCCGCCAGCACGTCGGCCTTCAGGTCCCGCAGCTGCCCGTCGGCTTCCGCGGCCGCCTTTGCCAGCTTGCCGGCGGCTTCCTCCCTGGCGGCGGCGACGCGCGCCTCGATCTCCTTGCGGACCACGCCCATCTGGATCTCGGATGCCTGCATCGCCCGCGCGGCTGCCGCGTCGGCCTTCGCGTCCGCCGCCGCTGCTGCCGCCGCCGCCGCGCCCTCGGCCGCGCGCAGCCGCTCCTCGGTCGCGCTCGCCGCCGCGGACGCCGCTGCGTCGCGCTTCCCGAGGGCGGCGCGCCACTCTTCCTCGGCCTTTGCGAGGCTGGCCGAGACCTCGCGCCGCAGCGCCGCGCCGCCCTCGGCGGCGACCTCGGCGGCCGCGCGGCCGCCGCCACCTTCGCGCTCGAGCGCGTCCAGGCGGGCGCGCAGCTGCGCGACGGCTGCCTCCGCCGCGCTGCGGGTGCCGGCCAGGCCCGCGGACAGCTCGCCTGGGATGATCAGGGTGCATCATGCGTAAGATGGCCAAAGCCCATGAGTCTTGAAACAGAGATTTTGGTTAGCTCTCCTGAATTCGAGTGGACGCGCACTTCACAGCCTCCAGAAGCCGGCAGGGTGCAGACAGCTTTGTTGGCTGCGGCGCTGCGGCCCCACGCGACTCACCGTGCAGCGTGGTCGCCGCCGCCTGAGAGCGCTTGCTCTCAGCCTCCAGGCTGGCGCTGAGGCGGCCTGCCTGGTCTTTGAGCTGGTTGGGTGCAGAGGAGCGGGCGGTGGGGGCTTGTGTTGGGTGTCGAAGGTGACCATGTGGTTGTGCACAGCACTTGCAAGGTGGTTGTTTGTTGTGCAAATCGGATGAACTTGACAGCATGCCTCAAGGATTATATCAGTGCGGCAAGCAGGCAGCTGGCGTGCAGGGCACCGGCACACCAGGCCAGGCCCGCCCCTCACCTGCTTCTCTACCGCTGCCCTCAGATCAGCGTCGCCCGCCCTCGCCCCCGCCTCCGCCGCCGCCACCCTCTCCGCCAACGCCGCCGCCTCCTGCCGTGCAAGCGCCACCTCCGCCCGCACCCCCTCCAGCTGCCCGGCGGCCGCCTCGCTCCCGCCCGCCAGCTCCCGCTGCAGCTTCTGGGCAGCTTCCGCCGCCTCGGCAGCCGCACGGGCGGACGCCTCCTGGTGCTCTCCGGCCGCCGCCGCCACCATCCTCTTGCAAGCGGCCAGCAGCCGTTGCTCAGCGGCATCAACCGCCGCCAGCGCCGCCGCCGCCTCCTCCCTCGCCGCAAGCAGCTGCGCCTCGAGCGCCTGCACCTTGCCCGCAGCGCCGTGCTGCGAGTTCTCGACGGACCGCTTCAGATCAGCTATGGCGCTTGCTGCCGCCTCCGCGCCGCGCCGCTGCTCCTCCACGGCCGCGGCCGCCCGCCGCTCTGCGTCCGCGCGCGCCGCGGCCAGCTCGGCGCGCAGCTGCCCGGCGGCTTCCTCTGCCGCGCGCCGGCTCGCCTCGCCGCCGGCGGACAGGCCAGACGACAGCGCTACGAGCCGTGCCTCCCAGCGCTCCTCCATGTCATGCGCGGCGCGCGACGCCGCCGCGGCCGCGGTGTCCGCTTGCCGACGCGCGCGCTCCTCCGCGCGCGCCTCGGACTCCTCTAAGGCGCCGCCCAGCCGCGCCTCGGCCTCGCGAAGCGCCGCTTCGAGCCGGGCGAGCTGCGCCTTTCCGCCTTCCGCGCCCCGCGCGGCGCGCTCCCGCTCCTCATCCCCGCGCGCCGCGAGCGCCGCCGCGGCCTCCTCTCGGGCGTCTTGGATCCCGCGCCGCGCCTGCGCCGCCTGCGCCTGCAGCATCTGGGTCAGCTGCTCCCGCAGCTCCTGCAGCTGCTCGGCAGCTTCCGCCCTCCCTCCATCCAGGTGCCTCGCCAACTCATCCACCCGGCCCTCCACGTCCCTGGACCGCGCCGCCGCGTCCACGCCTGCGGCCTCTTGAACCCTGAGCAGCTCCTCCACCGCCGCCCGCAGGTTCTCGCCGGCTTCCTCCCTGGCCGCCGCAACCGCCCCCTCTACCACCGCCGCCCGGGCGTCCGCCTCCGCCGCGGCGGCCGCCTGGCGCCGCTGCAGGCCTTGGAGCGCCGCGTTCACCTCGGATTTGATGTGTTCCTTGTCCGCGCGCGCCCGCTCCGCGCTTGTGGCCGCTGTGGCGCCAACAGTCTCCCGAAGCTCGTCCACTTCAGCAGCCGCCTCCGCGTCCCTCTCCCGCGCCTCCCAATCTGCCCGCTCCACCCGCGCGCGCAGCTCCTCCGTCGCCGCGCGCAGCTGCGCGGCGGCTTCCGCGGCGCCGTCGTCGACGGCCTGGGCCAGGGTGTCAAGCTGGGCGCCAGCCTCCTCGCGCGCGGCCGCCAGCTGGCCGCGCAGCGCAGAGAGCTGCGCGTCGGCGGCGGCGGCGGCGCGCCGCAGCTCGTCTGAGAGCGCGCCCTCTAGATGGTCCATCCGCCCGTCCAACGCAGCAGCGCTCTCCTGTTGGGAGTTCACCACGAAGGGCGCGTGTTGCACAGTCAAGCAGACCCCAACCCTGGCGGATGCTGGTTGAACAGGATGGTCTACAGTCAAACACAATCGATGGAATGCCACGTCAGGCTCACTAGTCACTACAGTAGGTGCACAACCCGCTGGCATTCGCCTGACCTGGCAGTGCGCCACCTGTACAAATGCAAACCACCAGTCTTGACAGCACGATTGGCCCACCTCAATCATACGAGATGCTTCCTGGAGCATGGCTTGCACGTTTTCCTCCGACTCCGCCCGCAGCCGCCCCGCAGCTTCCTCCGACTCAAGCAGCGTCTCCTCGGCTTCTGCGACCCGCGCGGCCACCGCCTCGACCTCCACCGCAAGCGCGGCCGCGTCGCCGGCGGCGGCTGCAGCGGAGGCTTCCATCGCGTCCAGCTGCAGCTGCAGCTGCTCGTCGGCTTCCTCTTGGCGCTGCAGCTCGCAAGTGTGATCTGACAGCAGCTGAGCCAGGGCGTCATCCTGGTCGGATGGTTACAACGGTCGCATCAGGGTTGGGGGTATGGCTTTCACGAGGTAGCAGCCGTGGAGGTGGCATTCTCACGTCGTTGCGGCGCAGCTCAGCACCCAGCGCTGCCTCAGGGATGCGAGCGGCCCGTCTGGCGACACGCCCCTTGGCTCCCCCTGACGCCCCCGAAGCCGCCTGTATACATTCCGCCCCCTAAAATCCCTAAACCCTTTTTTCCCCTTGCCGGCGACCTCGCACTCCAGGGCTCTAAGGTACAGAAAAGCCGCGTCATCCCAAGCCCAATTGCTGTTGCTCCCATCACCCCCCGCACACATACGCCCCCCCACACACACGCTTACGCAGACTCTCGTGGTCCCATGACATGAGCCTCACAAAGCCTCGCTCACCCTGTCTTTGCAGTCCTTTGCGACCCGCTCCACTTCAGCACGCAGCTGCTCGGCGGCTTCCCGAGCCTCGCCGGCCGTGCGCCGCAGGTCCGAATCTAGGCGCCGCGCCGCCTCTGTCAGCTGAGCCTTCAAAGTGGATGCCGACTCTGTTAGTGCAGCTTCCGCCTGCTGGGCCTGCATGATGCACAAAGAAAGCAGGGGCGATTGCCATGCAACGACCTGGCATGACTATGCTGGCGTGGCCACATGCACGGGCGCCGCGTACAGGTCACATGATGCCATGCGCCTGCGGGTCACTGACATTTTCACCGAAATTCACAGCTTGCCTGGCCATGGATGCCATCCTTGCGCAGCCATTTTCTGCCCTGTCTGCGCACCTGATCAGTAGCAGCCGCTTCGAACAACTCTACGCGCTGTCCCAGTGATGACAACTGCTCAGCAGCTTCCTCGGCGGACCCCTCCAGCTGCCCGATGCGGTCCTGTATATGGTATTCGGACGATGTTAGGATGATATTGTTGTGTGGCTGTTCGGATTTCCCCGTGCAAGATCCTAAGCAGCAACACCAGCTTTGGCAAAACGAGCAGCAGCGGCCACAGAAGCAGAAGCGGCGGCAACAGCGGCGGCGGTAGCACCAGCATCAGCAGCAGGTAAGTGGGAGCGTACTACTTATAAGCCAAGGGCTTTGGAACCTAGATCCACCTGATGACTCGTGATGCAGCCGCCCGTCTCGGCCGCCGCCGCCTCGAGCGCTATCGCGCGCCCCTCCAGCGCGGCGCCAGCCTCGCCCAGCGCTGCGATTTGCTGCTGAGCCGAGGTTGAAGCTTCCTCCAGGGCGTACACCTGGCACGGCGTTGAATTTCAACCACAGGTCAACAGGCGGGGTGTAGTTGCCACACAGTGTTGAACAACAGGGTGTGCAGCAAAGATGGTGGAACAAGAGCAGATTATTGCAGAATACATCTGAACGGGGCTGTCTTTAGATGCACTGGCAGCTGCGATTGATCCTTTTGATGTTCAAAACAAGACGCCCACCCTGGACTGAGCGTCGTGCAGGCCCTCTCCATGAGACTGCAGCGCCGCCCCGTGCGCCTCGAGCGCCTCGGCCGCCGCCGCAGCCGCCGCCTCGAGCGGCGCCACCCTGGCGAGCAGCTGCCCGGAAGCCGACTCCTGCTGGAGCCTCAAGGCACGCGCGCTCTAGAGGCAAGGAGGGAGGGAATATAGGCACTTTAAGATCTATGGATGTGATAGATGCAGGACAAGGAGTACGGATACTTGGATTCATACGTTGAGCCCTTTTTGGGCACCGCGCGAGCGTGACTGCCAAGGTGCATATCGACCCGAATTCCCGTGGCACAGTCACCCACCTGCTCCGCCGCGTCGTCCGCCGCCGCGTGTGCCGCCGCCATCCTCTGGCGCGCAGCCTCCAAGCCGCCCTCGAGCTGGGCCTTGTGTCTGTCGAGCCGCGCCGACAGCTCGCCCGCCTCCCGCGCCAGCTGGGCGCGAAGTTCGGCGGCCGACGACGCCAGCTGGCCGCCCAACGTGACGCAGCGGCCTTCCAGCTGCTGCCTGGAGGTTGAATGATGGAATGGGCAGGGAGTTTGTCGATCGCTTGACTTCAGGATCAGGACAGGGATATACAAACGACATCATGAAGTTGCCTGCTTCTGGGGCCACTCAAGGCATGGTAGAGTTGGGAGTGCAAAGCAACGGCTGTTGAGGGATTACTCATGGTAGCAAACCCCGGCGCAGCGGGCGCTTTGCGCCGAACACTGAGCCCCCTGCTACCACAACTAAACCCCAAAAACACAACTACATACGGTAAGCGATCGGGCCATCAGGGCACGCGTCAAGCCTCCCCTGTTCAGCAACCGTCTTGCTTTGCAAGGGATGCTGCACGCCCGCACCCCGCACCTGGCGGCCTCCAGCTTCTCCTCCAAGCCCTTGGTGCTGCCCTCAAGCTTGGCGGCCAGCCCCTCCACCTCACGGCGCGAGGTCGCCGAGTCGGCCGCCGCCCGCTGCGCCGCCCCGGCCTGCGTCAGCGGCGTGGCCGGCCGCAGATGTATTTAGTTGAGACCAAACGGGGCGGG